GAACAGGGTCGTCGGGATGGAACCGAAAAGTGCAGCTCTGGTATGCAACCTGTGCAGGCAACATGGGGTACATGGGACGAAGGTGACGTGGACACACAGCAACATGTAGCAAAGGAAAATCAATGTAGACACCCACTCTCAGCACCCTCGAGTTACTATGACTATCCTTTTGGCTCTTATTCCCCTTAACCTTCACCACCTGTAGCTCATCCTGTCAATCAACCCTCTGTGGTATTTTTGCAAGCCACAAGTGAAGAGTTGATGCTCGAGCAGCTTCAGCCCTGCCCGCATCTCCCCATACCCCTCTCTCTTTAACCCTTTGTCACCAGCACCTGTGTATGCCATCAGTGAATTCGGCTACTCACCAGGCCTATTCCCCCTTTGCCTCAACTTCAGCCCCCTCACTACCTGTGGTCCAGTGTGCTTTAATCTGCTACATTCCACACCACACCTGCCCCAGAAGACTAATCTAGACCTCACATCTGTCCCCCAAACCATAGCCAAGCTCTGATTCCAGAAATGCCAATCACACACCAACCACCATGCTCTAGTGAACAAAAAATGCAAGCTCCATTCAAACACCCAAGACGTGCTCTGATGACTGTCAGACTGCCCAGTTCAATCATGCATAACACCAAGTGTGAGGAAATCGAATCACTTGGGACATCTATGGACCAGACCAAAGGCCCTGAAACTGGGCGAATAATGAAAAGGGGTCTGAGGAAGTGGAGGAGAGCTGGAGGGAGGGGGGGGTGGGGGGGAGATTTGGAGAGCTTAAAGTTGGCCACTCCAGTGAGGAATGTAGCCTGCTGCTACAGCATTCCACTGAATGGCATGCTCATAGTTCCGTGAGCGTTGTGATGTTGGCCATGGCATCTGGAAGGCGACCAAAGAGAGGCTGGTAAGTGACGTTTCGGGCAAGGGAAGGGTAGGGGTAGATGATGACATGAGCGTATGCTGCCGGTTGGTTGCACACCGACACAACTACAACTCGGTTGGGGCATGCTGGGCACGGGCCATGGCACATGGAGCAGGGGCATGGGGCATGAGGAACGGGCAATTGAGCATAGGACATGGAGCTTGGGGAATGAAAAATGAAGCATGGGGCATGGGGCATGGGGAATGAGGGATGGTGCATGGAGCACGAAGCATATGAGTTGTTTTGTGGATTATGCGGCATCTGGCATGCGAAATGGGACATGTCACATAAGCATGTATGGGAGGGGCATGGGGCACGGGATATGGAGCATGGGGCATGGGGTATACGGTATGGGGATGGTGCATGGAGTGTGGGGCGTGGGAGTACAAGAGAAAACGAGGCAAGTTATTCCTTGCCTACAACTCGCCTCGTAAATGGTGAGTTTTAACGTGCCGTTTCCTTTACTTTCACCGGAAGTAGTACTCGACTCGTCTCACCTCATGAAGGATAAGAGTACAATACTTCCACTTGAGCAATGAGGGAGAGTTTTTTTACATGCGAGGAAAAAATAACATGCTGCGGGTGAAAGAATCTCTCATAAAGAATTCCATCGCTCCCCCCCTTGGCTCGTTGGGGGGTGCGGCACAAGCACGAAGCAGCACATCATGCCGGATTGCGATGAGGACTCCCACTGCCTACACGCATAGCCAGAGGCGCGACCGACCTTGCGAGGGATCGAGAGTGACGGCAGCAGCAGGTGGGCCAGTCATCGAAGAGAGCAAGATTGCGAGCGCTGTGAGGAGAATGATGAAGCAATGCCACTCTGATATGGCGGTTGCAAATGCGAGCCGCCGATGGTCAACTGCCTCACGCAGTTAAATTGGGGATCCTGGATCTGTTCCAAAAGAAACATCCGCGGTAGATTTTGTCGTCTTCAGGATGCAACCCCAGGATGTCAGGCTGATGTCTCAAGTGAGCGCTGGTCCGTTGGGTCAACTCCAACCCAATGGAACCCACCATGGCCTGGAAGGCTGCTGTGGTGCTTGGAGAGGGGTGGACGCGCTACAAGAGAACGTGGGAGGGACGGGGCTTCGTTGGCAGACATTCGCGCCATGGACACATCGCTTCATTTGCAAAATGAAGGACAAGTCCGAAATTTTAGAATTCATACTTCAACTCATCAAGAAAATCAGAAAAGAAACACAATATATCTGATAGAGGCCCCTTGTGCTGAAGCATAACTATATGTGTGTCATGTTGCGCAAACAGGGAGAGTTTAGAACTGGTATATTTGAGAAAATGAATGCAATTTGCAGCATTAAAACATCCCGATCGAGGATACATCGCTATACTTATGGCATGCAGTTGAAGACTGGCAGAGTATAGATGGGTGGCCGCAAACTATCGCGGAGCATGCCGAACGAGTATGAAAGTGCAAAGCGCGAATATTGCATGCAGCTCAGCAGGAGGCGGCATTTAGGTGACGTAGTTTTGATATTTGGGGCAGAACTGTGCGACAATCTCGATAAGGTGTCCTCTTTACTAGATACAGCTATTCTATTAAGGTCAGATAGGTAATAATAAGATACATGGTAGTATAATCATGTTCACTTCAAAATACGCACCAAGCTTGGGCAAGGCATGGCCTTTCTGATTCGTCAACCCTTTACATGAGTTGAGCCAGGGAAGATGTTTCTTGGCCTTGTCACACCATCTCCCTCGAGTGCCCTGTCGTACGACCTTCGAGGGCGTTGACAAGTAGAGGAAGTCCAATCCCTTTGAGGTGGTGTCTAAGTCATGCACCACCAACAGCTTTCACAGCCAGCCGTCACCTGTAGAGTGTCCCCTCACCACCGCTGTTTGATCACACTACATGCAGGGCATTGCATCGGAACGATTCATTTGGAATAGTGTAGGAGTCACTCTAAGAGTTCCATTGGAACAGCTTATAATCCTTCTTACCGCTATCGACAGCCTTTGGTTCCATCGCAACAGCTATATCATCGACCTGTGAGGCCAATGCTACGGTGTGACTCTGTTCCGCGAGTCGCCACGGCGAAAAGCCTGCCTCCGAGTTGGAAAAAGAGTGTTGCCCAGCTTGCCCGAGGTGACGCGGCAAGCTCATCATGCATGCGAAACCCGCAATTTTGGGATTGTGCCTGTTTGGTGACCCCAGAGATGCTGGATGCTTGATTCTGTTATTTCCTTCACAATAGTGCACAAAGAGGAAGAGTTGGAAAAGTAGCGGTCGGGTAACAAAGAGGAGGGAGCAGCCGGGTAACGGAAGGAGGAACCGGGCCATTGTTTGTGCAGGTGTAGAGGCCGTTGAAAAGCCGCTTACGTGTTTTTGGCCCATTGCACGAGAATTTTTTAATCCATGAAAGAGGAGAGAAACTGTCGCTGTCTTGTATCGCAAGTAGGGTAGTGTGACGAATAAGAGGGAGATGGGTAAGAAAGACGGTTTAGGGGAAGAGAAGGTCAAGGCAATATCAAAGGAGCTGGTGACGGAAAATGACAACAATAAAAGGGTTCGGAAGGCTCCTTGGTGCGGGGCATGAATATAGAAGCCTTCTCATAAGGATGATAAGTCTAGGCTTTTAGGAGATGGGTGCAAGGAGAAGAAGGAGGAGTCTCAACAAGAGGGCAAGTTGAAGGGAATTATGCCACAAAGAGTGATACAGGAGCATAAGGGAATGGATGGAGGGTTTGAAAGAGTCCATGTGAGGAAGGTGAAGTTAATTTGTTCAATGAAGGGCGCAGGAGGTAGGATGGAAAACGCGCACAGAGAAAATGTTGCTCTGGTGAAGCATAGAGTGTTGCCAACAATATGTGATGTGCATGGTGACGCCGAGGAAGCCACTAGGACCGTGGAACTAGGTGATACTGTTGTAACAAGTGGGAGGGGAGAGGAGAGGGAGGAAGGAGAGTTGAAGAACGAATCACAGGAAGGGAGTGAGGAGGAGGAAGAGGATGAGGACGAGGGGATACATGGGCAGATGAAGCGAGCTCACAAAAAAATAGAGACAGCATTGCTGGCAGATGCTGGAGAGCAGCCATCAGCTGCTCGATTTGCAAACGAGAGGCCCACAGAAAGATCTTTAGCTCACGGGAACGACATTGAGGGTTCGAGCAAGTTCTAGCTGAAGTTCCAATTGCAAATGGGGCGAATGTGGCCGACCTGTATGCATCCCCAATTGGGGGCTTCACTGGTGGACTTGCACGCAGGTAGAGCCAGAGGAGGGAGCATGCAGGAAATTAGCAAGCGGTTTATGCCAGTGGTGGAGATGCAGATGGTGGGGAAAGTGGTGCTGGTGGTAGATATGGGAAAATGAGACGCATTGTTGCTACTGTGGTGCTAGTTTGTTTGTTTGTTTTTTTAAGCTGTTGAGAAATTCGTGTCTGATGTCGAGTGCCCGCCCTGTAAGACTTCATGACCTCGAAATCTGTTTTACCATGCACTTGATGCGCATTGGCTGATGATCCTAACCCCCTTGCCTTGCCTCAAACAGACCTTAACCTCCTCTTCTTTCTGTGTGTGCGTGCAAGTGTCAAAGTGCGTGCACAGGAAAATGGGTGGATGGACGAGAACGCAATGCAAGCGTGGTTCAGGGAGGAGGTGTGTCACTACCTCTACCCAAAGCGTGGTGGACTGCCACGTGCTCGATGCTTGTCATTGACTCGTACGGGGGCCACCTAACCCCTAGCATGAAGAACCTGTACTGGACCGCACAGATCGTCCCTGCAACCATCCCAGCCGGATGCACATCCCTCATCCAGCCACTTGGCGTCTCTGTGAACAGGTGCTTCAAGGAAGACGTTCGTGCGTGCTACGCCACCTGGCTTGGAAAGCACATAATCAATCTGAGGGCGCCTAAAGGCAACCACCCTGATTCCCGGGTTTATTCCTTGTTTCTGCCGCCTGGACTAATGCTCTCTCCACTCTTTCCTCCCCCTCCCCCCCCACCCGCCCCACATGACGTCATTCTCAAGCATGGGAGGACGTGCCAAGCTCCATCATCATCCGCGCATTCAAGACATGCGGGATCTCAAGCTCTCTTGACGGAAGGAGAAGTACCTGGTTCTCCAGTACATGCGTGGAGAACCTTCAGTGAACGTGGATGGCGACATGTCACTCCGGGGGACGAGTGGCGACAACAGCGGCCTTGTTCAGGAGCAAGAGGAGGAGGAAGGAGAGGAGGGGGAGGAGGAGGGGGAGGAGGAGGGGGAGGAGGAGGGGGAGGAGGAGGGGGAGGAGGGGGAGGAGGAGGGGGAGGAGGAGGGGGAGAAGGAGGGGGAGGAGGAGGAGGAGGAGGAGGAGGAGGAGGAGGAGGAGGAGGAGGAGGAGGAGGAGGAGGAGGAGGAGGAGGAGGAGGAGGAGGAGGAGGAGGAGGAGGAGGAGGAGGAAGAGGAGGAGGAGGAGTTGGAGCAACCAATGGAGCATGACCCATACCCTGAGACGGTGGACTGCCGTGGAGCAACCGCAGAGGCAGACGAGCTGGTAGAGCCCGAGAGCACAGCGAAGCACACCTGGGGCGTGCCATATTTCTCTAGGCCTTTGTCAGCAGATCCAGGTGCTGGCGAGGACTCTGATTTCTCGACCATGGAGATGCAGTTTGAAAACTTTGAAGACTTTTAGACTTAGGTTCATTTCTATGTGCGTGTGCTTGCAATGACTCCTAAAGCAATAAGGAAACGAATATCTGCAGCGCTTCTCGAAAAGGGGGTTGGGGTCTTATCTCAAATACCCCTTTGGGTGTCTTTTAAAGCCCGTGGCTATAATAGCAATCAAGAGGGCTGTTTAATTTGTTCTTGAACTTGGCACATGACTTGATCTTTAGAGTATTTGAAGCAGAATAAAAACATTTCGTTTTGCAAAGCGGAATCTGACCGTGGCGGTTTGGCGACAGTTTTTGCACGAAACCATTCGGTTAACAGTGCAATACGCGTCGTGCGACCGAATTCGTGGTTCAGTGAACAGTGAAAAAGCATGAAGAACAGTGTTTTTTTGACGAACAGTAGCTGATTCCGGAATTGCAGACCTGGAAATCACTTGAATTCCCCAGTCATAAAGCGCCTGTATTTCCTCGTCGCAAGCTGCTCGCCCAAACCCGTCGTAGAAACTCCGTGCGATGCACACATTGTTTTTTAGCAATTCGCATCCAAATGATCGTGTCGCAACAAACAGCAAAACGAGTTCTTTCGCCATTCCTCCAATCAGCAAGCTCGACCAGAATTTGTTTCGACGCACTTTTCTTGTTCAGGCTTGAACTCAAAGCTGCCTTCCATTCTATACTTAGACGGATTTCAAAGAACCAAATTCAAGTGGTTTCCAGGTCTGCTATTTTAGTCGCGGGCTTTAAGCGGCAGTGCCGAATATAAGATTGTCACAATAGGAGACCATATGTCTTCAATTAAGGGGGTATCTTATATCCGGGCGTCGACCGTATCCATATGCTTCAGCTGTTCGGACCTTCACACAAGAATAGGTAATAACCCATCATTTGGTTTTGCACAATAACCCATCACTTGGTTTTGCACTAGGGCCCCTCGTGACTCAATGGGAAATTAGCTGCTGCTTCACTCTCGTGCAAGAATTGCTGCTCCACTAATGCAAGATCCTCGGCCATGCTCCTCACAGGCTGCTGGCTCAGCAATTTCTCATCGATCCTAGCTGAAGCCCTTGCCCTCTCATCCCCCCCTCCCATCTCCGCTCTGAGGGCCTCCAAGTCTTGGGCCACGTGGGCTATGGAGGGGCGGGAGGCAGTGGGCATGGCAGTGCAGCTCACAGCCAACTGGGCAATGCACCTGATGACGTCATCAGGTGCTGCCATGCGGGGGTCCGCAAGAAGCGATGTCTTCCCACGAGCCACAAGATCTGTTGCCTGTTAAGCGCAGATAGAAATCACAAATGGTGTGCACAACAAGCGACGGAAATGATGAAAGATTGATACTTAGATAACTGCAGGTAGAGCCCTGAAGAAAGAATGCTAAGACACTAACAAAAGTGTGTGGGCTACACACCCATTTGGAGATAGACATTGGTTCTTGGTCGCCAGGGTCATCTGACTCATTGCCCAGGTTCACATCATTGACTGTGGCTCCTCTGCCTGACAGCACCACCAGCATGACAATCCCATAGCTGAAGGAAAACAGCAGAGTGCAAAAAAAGGACAATGCACGTTTCGGAGTCTGAAAAGCGTCAAAGTAGAAGTATAGCCAAGCTTTCATCCCACAATAAGTGGGAGGCATGTATTCGAAAGAAGACGCAACAGACAAGAATTGAAATTGGAGTTATGGCAGACGTTGGAGCGTGTGTTGGAGCGTGCAGCTCATTGCAGCTCCCTTTTTTTTCCAGCACCAGACTATTACATTTTCGTGATGGGCTGAAGTCCATGTGTGCACTTCATGTCAAATGAGGTCTACACACATCGCATATTAAAGGCCAGATTCGACCCCAATCTCCAATCTCTTGCTTCCTCGGGTCAACCACCAACCTACAACCATCAGCAGCATCCTAAAGTGTAACTTCAACAGTTGAGCTAAAAGAGAGCAGACAGGAGTGCATACACACATTTGTACACATTTGCAACGGTGGTTGGCTTGTGTAGTCTGGAGTACGATTTTGAGAGATGACTCAAAAGTAGACATAGGCTCTGCACGCACCTGTACACATCAGCATGTCACCTGCACACATCGGCATGGCACATGTACACATCAACATGGCACCTGTACACATCAGCATGGCACCTGTACACATCAGCAGCGGTGGTGGCGTTGTGTGTTCTGGAGTACGCGGGGTCCACATAGCCCGCCGTTCCAAGGACTCGCGTGGAGCCCAATGCAGTGCCCTCCCCCACACGCACCAGTCCAAAATCCGCCACCTTGGGCTGGGGAGGATGGGTAATGCAGGCAAGCCAAGAGGGAACAATTTTTTTGGACTGGATGGCTGAAACCATGAGCCTTGCAATCGGCTTGGCAATGACCTTGGTGGTGATGATGATTGCAATGACCTTGGTGGTGATGATGATTGCAATGACATCACTCGGACTAGTGCAAGAATTAGAGTTAATGGATTCAGCATCACTCAAGTCGGCTGAAGAGGGAGACAGGGAGGGGAAAGGCGGTGAGGTGGGAGATGGCGAGGTGGGAGATGGCTCATCAACACCTCATCGCCGCACTCTCATTTGAGCATCAACGACTGATCCACAATGCACGTACACCAGAACATACATATGATCACCATCCACATTCCTGATGCGCGTTACAAGTAAACTATGCAGCAGTCACTCTAACAAACACCTCATTCCACACACGGGATAAGTGCTTGAGCCCATGCATAGCATTTCACAAACAAATTACCTTGTACCATCATTGAGGCCTCTCTGCCTGCCTCACACATACCTCCTCCCTAAGAATCTCATTGAGATAAGCAAGGCTAACATAAGTCAAATGCACATGCCAACATCTTATCGCTAATTCTACAAAATGCTTATTGCAAATTGCTTAATCGCAAATTGCCATTGGGAAATGCACTGGACCAAAATCCTTGCTAGACCCTTGGGAGAAACTCTTAATGACAAGGGCAGACCTTGCACTGGACCACTTTGCCTCCTTGTTCATTTCTGTGGCAGAATGCATACATCACATGAATGCATACATCACATGAATGCATACATCACATGAATGCCATTATTACCTGGGGATTCGTAAATCAGCAGATTTCCACCACACCCTACAATGTGTGTCAGTGCCTCATCCATGTGGGCATCGCCACCTCATCACCCCACCTGCATGTGCGCATCAACGCCTCATCATCACACCTGCATGTGCTCATCAATGAGGATGTTGGCTGGCTTGATGTCGCGATGCACAATGCCAAAGCTGTGCAGATACTCCAAGCCACGTGCAACCCCTATGAGAATGTCGACCCGCTGCTGCAGAGTCAAGCTTGTGGGGGCATCTGGGAAATGTCATGATAAAGTGTAGGTGGCATCAGCCTACTATGCACTTTAGTGCCAAGAACAGAGTGTATCTCGGGGCTTCTGCTAGCTACTGCTGAAGACGTCTAGTCATATCGTGCTTGGAACTATGCTGCATGATTGATTTCACAACAGCCATCCACACACCAGGCATGGTTGATATAGCAAGCGATCCAATCATACCTTGGTTGATCCACCTCTGCAGGTCGCCATTGGCAATGAACTCGTAGATGAGAACATTCTCCACCCGCGTGTTCACATCGCCACCCACTGCAAACCCCAGCAGCCGTACCAGATTGGGATGGTGCTTCGTGGCCATCTGAGCCACCTGCAAAAAAAGACGGCAATTTAAGCAGTGCAGAGAGGAGAGGGTTTAGTTAAAATGGACCCCACCAAATCATTCCCAAATGTCCATGCTGATTTTCTGCTCGTCTCATTGAATTAAAAAAAGATGTTCTTGTGGACCCCGAGTGTTCCAGTAGCTAGCCACAAATTTTCTGGCCGCAGACTGAACATGAGCAAAGGGGTGGGCCAGCCGGTCACGCAGTGCCACCCAGTCCGAAAGGTGGGTCCTGGGCTGGCCCAAGCCCGGCCCGAGGCCCATGGGCTCCAACGACGACGGGTTGCGACGCGGCACCATCAACAATTTGCGGGTCAATATTTCGAAGGATCCCATACTTTATTTCTCGGGTAATCTACAACCCTATCTTGCATTCCGCCTGCCGATGCGCCTCGACTGTTCATGCTCCAAGAGTAACATCTAGGTGTGACTCTGTGTGCCCTCACACACCCATAGCCCCAAGGGCCCTCCTGGCCAGTATGCAGTGTGGAGTCCAGCAATCAGAGTCGGGCAATCTGCCCGGTCTGGCCGGTCTCAAGCCAGCCCCAGCCTGGCCCTTGCAAGCAGCCGCACCAGATTGGGATAGTGCTTCGTGGCCATCTGAGCCACCTGGGGGGAGCCAAGGAGGGAGAGCATGGAGGAGGAGAGGGTGGGTTAAGTTACGTTTTCCTGTAATGACGATGACTTCCTATTATGTGTTACTGTCATCATGCATTTCAACTTGCATCCATAGTACTAGTGTTCTTCAAGGTTGGGCGTCACACAAAATTCCCAATCTCACCACCTAAATGTTACGACCCAAATCTCCAACTCAGCCGTATAAGGGATTTTGGTGCAACTGATAAGGGATCTATCTTCATGCTCTGCTGCAGCTCTGAAGTAAAGAAAAAGTTTGTTTCTTCCTCCTCCTTCCCCTTCTCCCCCCTCACTCGTTCCCCCCCTCCTCCCCAATCCCACTCGATTGTTCTTCTCGAGCGAACAGAGCCGAAACATCGAGAAAAAGATGACCCGCCTGACTGGTGACTTGGCATAATTATGGGATCAAGTCAATCTGATTTTCGACTGGCTTGTTCATCCCAACGTCGAATCCACCACCACAGGCCCCCTCCCTCGTTTGGGCTGGCTCTGATGACTCAACCCCAGCTTCACCATCTGAAGAACCCTCCACCTCTGCCGCACTCGGTCCTTTGGACCCGCCTCTTCCACATGCTTGCTCAATATGCTTTCTCATCCAGACACCTTTTGCTGAGTGGTTTTTTGGAGTATACTTTTGTAGTAACGGTTGTCAGCATAATAAAACTCCCAACTTGTCAGGCCAGCATGCACATAGCATGACAGGGTAGAAGTTAAAGCCCCCATCTTGAATTTCACCAGGGGAGCTCAAAGGTAATACCCTTGGTACAGTGTAACGTGAGGAAATGAGGTGCGAGGGCTCAGAATTGCGTGCGAAGGATGGGTATGATTGTTGGACTGAACAGTAAACAAGTTCGAGGACGTGGAATAAGGACTTCCGAGTAGACATGGGCAAAAAAAACCACATCGCATCACATTTAATCGCGTTTTTGCGATTGCGATGTTTTTTTTGTTTTTTGTTTTTTTTAATCATCGCGCGATGCGATGAATTAATCTTGCGCGATTTAAATTAAATCGCATTTTTATCGCGCTAAAAAACGCGATTTAAATGCGATTTGCAATTTTTAAAAAATCGCGCGCGATGTTGCACTGAAACTAGACATGGGCAGCATGCCGAGCCTGGCTCGACTCGGCTCGACTCGAACTCGAGCTAGGCAAAAGTCGAGCCGAGCCGACTCGGCTCGACCCGAGCCGGCTGCCCCAAAATGGCTGGCTCGACTCGGGGGTTCAGGGTCGAGCCAAGGGTCGGCTCGACTTTGGCTCGGCTCGGCTCGACTCGCCAAAAGGGTTTCTTCTGCATGTTTTGAAAAGGTCTTGCTAGATTGCTGTAAATTTTCTGCACGTAAAGGTCCCTAAGCCCTTACATCCTTCCTACAACACCAAAAGGTAGTCGAAAAAAATATAAGTAGCAGTGTTGGTGGAGAGAGGGCAAGCTAGGGTGGCGTAATAGCTCAGATGTAGGCTTAGGCTCGATGGCGAAAACCTAGAATGGATTGTCAACTTCCAGGGGGGTCGAATTTTGACCCCCCACGGGCGAGCCGCACGCTTCGGGAGTCGAGCCAAAGTCGAGCCGGCTCGACTTCGGCTCGCCCTGAAATTTGCGACGAGTCGAGTCGAGCCGCGCGGCTCGAACGGCTCGACCCGGCTCGACTCGGGGCGAGCCGGCCACAAAAAAAACCTGGCTCGACTCGCCTTGAGTCGAGCCGAGTTGAGCCAGGCTCAGCATGCTGCCCATGTCTAACTGAAACCCACTCTGAAACCCACCACGAAACCACACTGGTTATTTGCACTCTAGCTGACGACTGCCCGTGAGTCAATTTCCCCACAGCCATGGTTTTTTTTCTGTTTTTTTGGGGTGTTTTTTGTTTTTTGTTTTTTTTTTTCTTCTGTTTAAAAACGCGATGCGATTTAAAATCGCATCGCGCGATTTAATTAAATACCGCATGCGGTTTACATATTCATCGCGCGCAAAACGCGACGTGCGATGATTTTTTTTCCAGAAATTAAATCGCGCGATGCGATTTTAAGTCGCATCGCATTTAATTAAATCGCCCCCCAATTCGATGCGATTTAAATCGCAATCGCATTTTGCCCATGTCTACTTCCGAGCTAAGTGGGAAAATTCGCTGGGGTCCCCCAGCGTTTTGCGTAAATTCATAAGCGTAAATCCGCGTTTGTGAATTGAACTGAAATTTGCTGAAGGCTGGGGGAATTTTTTTGGGGCAGCCTGAAAAAAAAAAACACGCTTTTTGATTTGTTTTTGTCTTTGTTTGTTTGTTTGTTTGTTTGTTTGTTTTTTTTTTTTTTTTTTTTTTTCGTGATTCGCGACGACACGGCAAAGCCATCCGCAACCTCGCCAATTCGCGCTTCCAACTTTTGACCCCCCAAACATGCTTCCAACCCCTCCCACGCTCCCTACGGCATCAAACTCCACCGCATTTAGAAAACCAAACCCATCCACCACACAACTTACGAAACCCTAACACGCATCTCACGCTACTCTACCAGAGGTAGCGCTTCCACGTCTTAGCTAGTCGATCAAGTTTAAGCACAGACTCTAGCTTACCTCACGAGAATCCGAGCTGCAATGTCGAACCTCCCAGATCAGGGCGCTAGTGAGGATGCGACAGGCAATGTGTCAGGTTGAACTTTAAAAAGCAATAGCTATTTCGTGCTAAAACATTCTTGCTTAAAAAGTGTCGCCTTGACACCCCCCCACACCCCTCCTATCCTACTGCCTGAACTGTCGCAGCCGCCCACCTCTCTGTAGAAGTCGGCGCTGATGACTTTGGCTCGCTTCACCGCCCACAGCGTGGTGCCATCATCAGGGGAAACCCCGCGATACACGTCTCCGAAGGACCCCGACCCAAGTAGCTTGTCCTTGGACCAGTTGCCCGTGGCGCGAACGACAATCGCCAGGGGGTACTTCTGGCACGGTGTGGAGCAGGGAGCAGATGATACTGCGCAAAGAAAGGTGTGTGTGTGGGGAGGGGTCAGTGGGGTGAGGAAAGGCCAGAGAAGGTGTGGAGGACCATCAGGCTGATTAGGTCTTCCATCAGATGGAAGACCTTAGGATTCAATACGTGTGCATATATTCCGTATGCGTAAACAAACGCAAATCAGAAGTTGGTATGCCATTGCTCCATATGTGGAAAAGGTTGGCATGAAAGAATCTGACCTCCATTGGATGCTCTGGTCTGTGCAACAGCCCACCAAGCAGCGCCGAGCAGCAGAAGCAGCAGAAAGATGGCTGCTGCCACAATGCCGATGACAGCTCCCATGGAGAAGGCCTCAGAGGACGAGGGCGAGGAAGGGGGAGGGGCTAGTTGGGGAGAGAGTGTTGCCGGGCCCAGTGGGTGATGGGGTGGTGGTGAAACGAGGGAGAGAGAGATGCAGGTGGTGATGGGGGAAGGGAGGGAGGGAGGGTATATTTTGGTGAGTGTTCAGCTAGAATGGCCAGTATACATACACACATCCACAAACAAATCACAAATAGAGGTGGTGGTGGCTGTTTATGCGTGATGCAAAGAGGCATTCAAGTAATCTGGACATGCCTTTGTGTATGGAATAACTAGCACAACCGAACACAGGCAAATGCATCTTGGCACCCCCTGTGTGTCATACCTTGACACAGCATGGGACTGAATTCCTTGAACTAGTTTTGCTTTGACTCAACCCAGAAGTACCACGTTTCTCAGTTGTACATGTCCTGTTGAAGAACCTCTTCCATTGTCACGTTCCTTTTTGACAGCAGTGACTGGTGTAACTTGGCATTGACTGGCACAAATCAACTAACACATCTTGTGCTGCACATATTCAAATCGACAGACAAACTTAGGTTTCATTAACACAACTTTGCATTGACTACCACAATTTGGCACTGACTAGCACCGCCTTGTTTTGACCTACATTGACCGCATGTCTCACCTTCATCAGGGGTACATGTGGCACAGAAGCTCTTGCACTTGGAGCAGAAGGCGCTGCCATTGAACTGGCGAACCACACAGGTGGAAGCATCTGGAGGACATGTGAGACTAGAGGCTGATATCTTGCTGCTTGGATGGGCAAGGGGGTGTGGGAGGTGGATGGAGGATATGGAATAAGGCATAGAATGAGGACAAGAGCAGCGAGGTTTACGCGGAAGGGATACACATGAAGGGCTGGTGGTGCAGTGGAATGAGTGGCAGAGATGAGTGGAGTGAGCAGAGCAACACAGGGAACGCGAAATACAAAGCGAAGGCACAGAGCACAGAGCACAGAGCACAGAGCACAGAGCACAGAGCACAGTGAAGGAATTAGCTTGGAAGAGAAAAGATTGAATTGAGTAGGGAGCCAAGAGGCTCTTTTGTACAAAACAAGGAGCAAGGAAGAGTTGGAAGAGAAGCTCTCCTATTGGCCATAAAGTGGACCAATGGGAGAGGTTGCTTGTAGGGCAAGCAACCACAAAGTGTTGTGCTCTCCGATTGGCCACAATGTGGACCAATGAGAGAGATTGCTTGGAAGGCAAGCAACCACAAAGTGTGGTGCTTGGTGATTGGCTGGTTCCTAGGACCAAGGACCATTTGGTTGGAATAGTGCCAACCAAATGTCTAGGACCAAATCCAATCTTGACCAACCCACATGTGGGGTTGGCCAACCCAACCAAAAACCCCCCAATAATTATAATGACTACACCTCCTAATCTAGGCATGCATGTTGTATAGATATATATTTTACAACACAACCCCCCAACATGCATAAGACTAGAGGACTTGAATCAGGAGGCGGACGAGGGAACGGGGGAAGCGAGTCCAAGAAGGCGAAGGAGGGATGAGTGGGCGGCGTGGGGGAGGGCTTTGGTGAAGATGTCGGCAAGATTGGCAGCAGAGTCAATCTTGCCCAGCTGGAGGTGGTCACCCTGCACAAGCTCGCGAATGAAGTAGTGGCGAAGCTCAATGTGCTTGGAGCGCCCGTGGAACACGGCATCCTTCGTGAGGTGGATTGTGCTGGCGTTGTCGCACCAGATGGTGGGACAGCGCTGAGGGGCACCAAGCTCCTCAAGAAGGAAGGTGAGCCAGCGGGCCTCCTGCGCAGCCATGGTAGCGGCATACAACTCTGCTTCGCAGGAGGAGCGGGTGGAGCGCCAGCTGATGAGGCCGCTGCCAAGAGAGAAGCCATAGCCCTGAGAGGAGCGGCGGTCAGGCCTAGAGTCAGCCCAGGAGGAATCAAAGTAGCCAGTGAGGAGGGGAGGGGAGGGGCCGCCAAGGGTAAGGACGTAGTCCTTGGTCCCCCGAAGGTAGCGGAGGACACGCTTGGCCGCTTGCCAGTGGGCGGCATCATGCTTGCCGGTACCAACGAAGCGGGCCAAAACACTGATGGGGTATGCCAGGTCGGGGCGGGTGGAGACCATGGCATACATGAGAGAGCCGATGAGCTCAGCGTAGGGGTGGGAGGAGGAGGAGGGGGAGGTGAGGGGAGTGAGGTGGTGCCCAACAGGAAGAGGGGTGACCTGAGGGGTGCCTCGAGCCATGTCGAACCGCTCCAGGACCTGCTGCAAGTAGTGGCTCTGGGAGAGGGAGATGGTGCGAGCAGCACGGTCGCGGGTAATCTCCATGCCGAGATAGTGCTGCAGCTCCCCTAGATCCTTGCACTTGAGCCGGCTGCCAAGCTCACGCTTGACGCGCTCGAGCTCGGCGGAGTCGGCAGTGATGAGGATCATATCGTCGACATAGACGAGGATGTAGAAGGGGGAGGGGGAGGTGCGGAGGAAGAGGCTGGGGTCGGCGCGGGAGGTGCTGAAGCCAAGCTCGGCGAGGGTGGCAGCAAGCTTGGCATGCCACTCCCTTGGTGCCTGCTTGAGCCCATAGACCGGCCGACGCAGCTGCCAGACAGAGTCGGAAGGAAAGGGGAGGTGGAAGCCTGCAGGACGCTCCATGTAAATGAGCTTGCGCAAAACCCCTTGGAGGAATGCGTTGGAGACGTCCATGGAGTGAATCTCCATGTTGAGGCGAGCGGCGAGGTCGAGGACTGCGCGAATGGTAGCGGGCTTGGCGGTGGGAGAGAAGGTGTCGAAGAAGTCGACAGCGTAGCGCTGGGTGAAGCCCTTGGCGACGTAGCGGGCTTTGTAGACCAGCGGCTCGCCAGGAAGCTGCTTCACTCGAAACACCCACTTCCCTTTGACCACGTTCGTGGTAGAGGGAGGGCGGGGCACATCCACAAAGGACGAGTTGGCAATAAACGCCTCCAACTCCTTGAGGATGGCCGCGAGCCAGAGGTGAGCGTAAGGGACGCCATGGCCTCCTCGTACGTGGCGGGGACGAAGATGGTGGGGGCGGAGGAAAAGGCGAAGACTGGTGTGCCGCTGAGGTCAGGGGAGATGAGTAGGAGGGCTGGATCATGCAGGTGGAGGTTGAGGAACTCCTCATGGGAGTCCTCGAGGAGGGAGGAGTGGAAAATGAATGGGAGGACTACAGCTGCTGCTGCTGCTGCTGCTGAGGATGCATCTGCTGCTGCTGCTGCTGAGGCGGCTGCTACTACTGCATCTGCTGCTGTCGCTGCTGCTGCTGCGGGTGAAGGCGAGGAAGGAGCGACGGCTGCTGCTGCTGGTGCTGCTGCGGTGGGTGGAACTGCTGCTGCAGCTGTTGCTGCTGCTGTTGGGACTGCTGTACTGGAGCTCGACGGCAGAGTTGGGCTAGTGTTTTGTTGTAAGACTGTCTGAAAAAGGAGGTCCATGAGAGGGGAGAGAGGAGGCAAGGTAGAGGAAGAGAGGATAACAGGAGGCGAGGCACCTAGGACTGCGTCACGCGACCTGGTGTGGGGATACCGGGTGAGGATGGAGCGGGTGGGACGCAGGGGGTTAGGGGGTCGCGGGGGAGAGGGGGGAGGAGGGGAGGGGGGAGGATGGGAGGGAGCGGAGGGGGAGGAGTGGGACGGGGAGGCGAGGGGAAAAAAAGGGTCAGGGTCAAATATGTCACCAGAGGAGGGGGGAGCGCTAGGGATCGAGGCGGCGGGGAATGGAGGAGGTGGAGCGGGGGGGAGGATGGGAGGGGGAGGGAGAAGAGGGGGTGGGATAGTGTCGGACCAGTTGAGGGGCCTGGGAGCAGGGGCGAGAGGGTCAGTGGGGGGAGGAGTGGAATAGTAGGGTGTGGACTCATCAAAGACTACATCCCGACTGCGGAGGAAACGACCTGAGGGGGGGTGAAGGAAGAGGTAGTCCGGGGAGGAGGGATTATGACCAAGGAAGATGCAGGGGAGGGTACGGGAGGCGAGCTTTCCCATGGTGCGGGGGCGGTCCGCAGGGTGAATGAGGACATACGCCCTGGAGCCCCACACACGGAGGGAGGAGACGTCAGGCTTGGCCGACGTCCAGAGCTCGGTGGGAGTGGTGGAGGGAAGGATAGGGTGGGGGTACAGGTTAGTAAGGAGGGTGGCGTGAAGGAGGGCATAGCCCCACAGAGAAGGGGGGTAAGAGGCATGGACGAGGAGACACCGAGCAATCTTGGTGATCTCCCGAACACGGCTCTCGGCCACACCATTCTGCTGGGGGGAGTGGGGGAGGGTTTGAGTCTGGCGAATGCCATGAAGCTCACAGTAGGAGGCTACCTGACGGTTAAGGAATTCGCCACCGCCATCAGAGTGAAGGCGGCGCACAGGGCGGCCAAAGTGGGTGCTCGCCTGCTTGAGCCAGGCGATGATCGCAGCCGGAGCGTCACCCTTCGAGCGAAGAAGGGAGACGGACGAATATCGGCTGTGATCATCAACCAGAACAAGCATGTAGCGATGGCCCTGGCGGGAAGGGGAGGGGTTGGGGCCCCAGAGGTCCATGTGAACAAGATCAAGCGGCTGAGCAGCAGCGGAGGGGGAACTCCGATGCGGCAGCTGCTTGAGCTTGCTCTGGACACAGACGGAGCAGGGAGGGGAGGGAGGGTGAGGGGAAGACCTCGAAGGAGACCTGAGGAGACGGTCGAGCGGAGGGTGGCAAAGTTGGGGTGACCAAGCCTGTGGTGGAGGAGGACGGTGGGATGGGAGAGGGATCGACAGGAGCAGGTTGGGTCAGGGGGGAGGGGGGGAATGGTTGGGTTAGAAGGAGGGAGAGGAGGGGGAGGGATGTGAGGTGGGGGGAGGGAGCGGGAGACTGCCTGGGCAGAGGGAAGACGAGGAACTCGAAGGGTATATAGGCGGGAGCGAGGACAAAAGGGAATACGGGAGAGGAGGCGACCTGTGGGATGGTATAGGAGGCAGTGATTAGTGCGACCTGGGAAGACGGTGGTGATACTGGCCTGCTGCAGGGATCGCTGGGAGAGGAGGTTAGTACGGAGGGAGGGGATGTGTAAACCAGTAACGGTACCTGAGGGGAAGAGGGGACAGGGGAGGGTAGAGGTGTGGCGACAGGGAATAGAGAAGCTGGAATCGGCACCAAGGAGGGAGGTGGGGGCTGGGAGAGGGTGAAGGGTACCAGCATCACGAAGGACGGACTCGGTGGCTCCACTGTCAAGGACAAAGTCCAGCGTGGTGGAGGGGGGAGGATGTGGGGGAGGAGGTGGGACGGAGTACTGAATCACATTCTCATTAATAGCAGCCGAAAACATAGAAGGGGCGGGGGTTCCAGCCTGACTAACCATGCCAACAAAACCAGAGGAGGGGAAACGAGTCACACTGCCTGAGGCTGAGGGCGCGGGAGACGCGCCCGAGAGGTGAGCTGCGGAAGCGGCGGTGCTGGCGGTCCAAGCGGGGTAGGGCTGCTGGGGGGGAGCCATAGGAGGAGGTGCAAGGGGGAGCTCCGACTAGAGGTCAAGCTGCTGCTGGAGCTGCTGCTGCAACTGGGAGAAGAGGTGCTACTGCCCCTGCTGCTGCTGCTGCTGGAACTGCTGTTGCTGCTGCTGAAACGGCTGCGGCAGGATCTGCTGCGGAGTCTGCTGCTGCTGCTGTTGCTGAGGGACGGCTTGGTGGGCCAGGGGGGAGGAGACGGGCTGGAAAAGAGGGGAGGTACGAACCTCTTGAGGAGTGGGGCGAGGGGAGAGGGAGGACCAGCGGGGGGGGGTGCCGGTGTTGCCGCGGGCAAAACACTCATCACTGAGCGCTTTGAAGCAAGAATCAGTGGCATGAGTGGTCTGGCCGCAGCGCTGACCCTGCGTGGGGCCATAGCGAGGGAGATACTGACAAGGAGGAAAGGCGGCTGCTGCACCACGTCCTGCGCCATTGCCACCACGACCCGCACCACCACCACGACCAGCGCCACGCCCACCCCCACGCCCTCCCCTGGTGTTGCGCTGCTGAGCAATAGCGACAGTTGAGGAGGAATGGCGCAAGAGGTCGGCCTCGGTGGTGATAATCCACTGGGCGACTTCAGCCGGGGTGATGCGTTTGTCGATCAGCTGCATGTAGGCGATCTTATGGGTGTCAAAGGCAGGAGTCAAGCCTTCAAGGAAGTGGCAGCATAGCACTGGGTCCGGGTACGGCACGCCAAGAGCCGCCAGGCGCCGAGCGAGGTCGAGGACGCGACGCGTGAAGACAGCTGCGCCGGTGGTAGAGTCCATGGTGAGGCTCTGGAACTCCTTGATGAGGGAGTAGAGGGTGGCGACATCCTGCCGATCATAGAGATCGGTGAGGAGGCGCCCGAGGTGGGAGGAGGAGGTGGGAGCAAGCTCGCGCTTGAGGGTGGGAGGAATGGTGGCGAGGAGGATGGTGAGCGCGCGCCGGTCAGCGACACGCCAGGCAGCGAGGTCGGTGATGTATGCGCGCTCGCGCCTGACGTACTCTGCGAGCTCCGCCTGATACATGTTGTAGGCGGCAGTGGCGGCGTCATGCTCGGCGCGGGAAGCCTCGAAGAGCAGCTGCTGGCGGACGTGGTCGGTGAGGCCGGCACGGTAGGTGCGGATGGCAGTCTCGGAGCTCTGAGGGTCGTTGACGTCAGGGCCGAAGGTTGGAGGATCGCCGGGGCTGACGGGAGCATCGCCAGGAGGAGGAGGTGCAGGGCCCGCGGGAGCATCCGGCTGGGCAGGCTGAAGACCGCGCTCCTCGAGATGGACAACGGCTTCCAGGTTGTAGCCGTTGACCGTCACCGAGGAGAGAAGCACCGTGACGGTTTGGGCATAGGAATGCCAATTGACCGCGGTGTTGTCGGGCAGCAGCTCAAGAGCGTCGACGGAGGTAAGGTCCACCGAGGAATCGGACGCCATTGAGGAGGAGGAGGGGAAGGAAGGAAGGGGGGGAGGAGGAAAAGGAAAGGAGGAGGAAAAGGAAAATGAGGAAAAGGAAAGGAGGAGGAAAAGGAAAGGAGGAGGAGAAGGGGGAGGGAGGAGAAGGATAGGTGCGCGGAGCGCAGCTCTTAAGTCGCCGACGCGCTCCAAGGAGGATGCGTCGACCGGCTGCACGTCGAAATGGCGCGACGAACAGGAGCACACGACGGCGGAATCGACGACGAGCAGGTGCACGCGGCGGAGAAATCAACCGACGGTCGTGCGCGCGCGGCGGCACAAAGGCGACGGCCGCGGAGAGTACGTGCGCGACCGGAGGATTCGTCGACGGGCGTGCGCGGGAGCCGTGACGGACGGGCGCGCGGAAAGCGCGATGGAGAGGGGCGCGACGACGGGCCGCGCGACGGAGGAGCGCACCAACGGGCGCAGTAGGAGGATGCGACGGGCTGAAGCGCGTCGTAAGGAGCGACGGGAGGCGCACGACGGAAGGGTGAGCGGGCGCGGCAAAAGGCGCGCGACGGGAGGAAGAGCGGGCGCGACGGAATAGTGCGGCGGGAGAGGGCGCACGGGGGGCGCGGGAAGTAGCCTAAGGAACGGCTAGGCTTCGAAGACGACGAGGGACGGCATAGAGCCGTGCTAGTTAGGATCGACTAGAGGTGGCGTGAGCCATTGTGGCTCTGAATACCATGAAGGAATTAGCTTGGAAGAGAAAAGATTGAATTGAGTAGGGAGCCAAGAGGCTCTTTTGTACAAAACAAGGAGCAAGGAAGAGTTGGAAGAGAAGCTCTCCTATTGGCCATAAAGTGGACCAATGGGAGAGGTTGCTTGTAGGGCAAGCAACCACAAAGTGTTGTGCTCTCCGATTGGCCACAATGTGGACCAATGAGAGAGATTACTTGGAAGGCAAGCAACCACAAAGTGTGGTGCTTGGTGATTGGTTGGTTCCTAGGACCAAGGACCATTTGGTTGGAATAGTGCCAACCAAATGTCTAGGACCAAATCCAATCTTGACCAACCCAAATGTGGGGTTGGTCAACCCAACCAACAACCCTCCAATAATTATAATGACTACACCTCCTAATCTAGGCATGCATGTTGTATAGATATATATTTTACAACACACAGAGCACAGACCACTGAGCACAAAGCACAGAACACAGAGCACAGAGCACAGAGCACAGTGAAGGAAATAGTTTGGAAGAGAAAAGATTGTTTGAGTAAGGAGCCAAGAGGCTCTTTTGTACAAAACAAGGAGCAAGGAAGAGTTGGAAGGGAAGCTCTCCTATTGGCCATAAAGTGGACCAATGAGAGAGGTTGCTTGTAGGGCAAGCAACCACAAAGTGTGGTGCTCTCTGATTGGCCACAATGTGGACCAATGAGAGAGATTGCTTGGAAGGCAAGCAACCACAAAGTGTGGTGCTTGGTGATTGGTTGGTTCCTAGGTCCAAGGACCATTTGGTTGGAATAGTGCCAACCAAATGTATAGGACCAAATCCAATCTTGACCAACCCAAATGTGGGGTTGGTCAACCCAACCAACAACCCCCCAATAATTATAATGACTACACCTCCTAATCTAGGCATGCATGTTGTATAGATATATATTTTACAACACATAGAGCACAGAGCACAGAGCACAGAGCACAGTGAAGGAAATAGCTTGGAAGAGAAAAGATTGTTTGAGTAGGGAACCAAGAGGCTCTTTTGTACAAAACAAAGAGCAAGGAAGAGTTGGAAGGGAAGCTCTCCTATTGGCCATAAAGTGGACCAATGAGAGAGGTTGCTTGTAGGGCAAGCAACCACAAAGTGTGGTGCTCTCTGATTGGCCACAATGTGGACCAATGAGAGAGATTGCTTGGAAGGCAAGCAACCACAAAGTGTGGTGCTTGGTGATTGGTTGGTTCCTAGGACCAAGGACCATTTGGTTGGAATAGTGCCAACCAAATGTCTAGGACCAAATCCAATCTTGACCAACCCAAATGTGGGGTTGGTCAACCCAACCAACAACCCCCCAATAATTATAATGACTACACCTCCTAATCTAGGCATGCATGTTGTATAGATATATATATTTTACAACACACAGAGCACAGAGCACAGCGCACAGAGCACAGAGCACAGAGCACAGAGCACAGAGCACAGGGCACAGGGCACAGGGCACAGGGCACAGGGCACAGGGCACAGGGCACAGGGCACAGGGCACAGGGCACAGGGCACAGGGCACAGGGCACAGGGCACAGGGCACAGGGCACAAGGCACAGGGCACAGGGCACAGGGCACAGGGCACAGGGCACAGGGCACAGAGCACAGAGCACAAAGCACAGAGCACAGCGCACAGGGCACAGGGCACAGGGCACAGGTCACAGGGCACAGGGCACAGGGCACAGGGCACAGGGCACAGGTCACAAGGCACAGGTCACAGGGCACAGGGCATTGGGCACAGAGCACAGGGCACAGAGCACAGGGCACAGAGTGAGTGGGCAGAGCACAGCACAGCACCCACAGAGAGCTGAGACCCGTCAAACTGCCAAGAGCAGCAGGTAGAGGCCCGGACAACTCGTTCCCACTGACATCACTGCAACGACCATGTGAGCAACGGAGAACATCATGGAGGAGGGTTTCATAGGGTGAATGGTACCCCCGTAGGCAGATGTGAAGGAACTGATTGGGGTATGACATTAGTACAAATTCTCCACGACAAGTTTAGGCCCCCTAACGGGGGGAGACAGAGAGTGAGGAAGTAAGCCCGAGGTGTAAGTACAGACGTTGTGAATGCCAGGCAGGTTTCACCATGCTCCCCTTCACCTTACCTCATCTTCATATTACTTCATCCTCCCGAGCCATGGTATGTGAGCTCCCTTTTTCCATGCAGTTATGCGACTGCTGCCGTGTGACTCACAGCTCTCGCAGGTCAGTGAGGCGAGACAGGCTACTGGGGATCGTGCCGGTCAAAAGGTTGTTAGAGAGGTCCCTGTGATTTCATGGCGCACTGGGCACACGCTGACGACACGGAGCCAAGGGAATGGAAGCAGCAACCCCGTTCTGGAAGGTCACTCTATGACACAAGAGAAAAAGTTGAGCTTTCAGTGACACCATGGAAGCAACAAGTCAGGATTCAAAAGTCTAGAGCACAAGAGGAAAAAGCCGAACCTTGCATGCAAGGTGGAAACTTCAGGCAGGAAGTTTTGATACTTTAGAGAAAGTTTATGGAGATTTTGTATGGCCTTAAGGATAAAAAGGGATTTTTTTTACCATCTGCCATTTGTTTCTCTAGCACCACATCCATTGTTCTGCTTTGTTTTGTTTTGGTTTGTTACTTTTCATCCCCACTTCTTGTCTTCAACGGGCCTCTGCTTCGTTCATGCATTCCCAAACTACAATCTCGTTTTTTTTCTTTTTACGGTAAGCTTTGACACGAAAGCTAGGAAAAAATCGTCAGAATCTTGTGCCCTGCTTGTGTGACATGCGAATACAACCACCCAGCGCAGTAAGCTGCAAGCAGTGAATAGATGGAAGTCCAGCCGATGCAAACGAGTATGCAATGACAGTTAACAATTGGAATCAAACAAGAAAACATTGAACGCTCTCACAATGAGGTTATATACTTCATGTTGCCAATGCCCTCCGGGATGGTTCCAACAAACAGGTTATTAGACAAATCCCTGCAAAGTGGTAATCACATGTGTGCCCCTCAGAGTAAAGGGAATATGGCACTTCATGAAAGACTTCTCGTACACAAGTGCATGACTAAGCAGCCGGTAAAGACGGTGCTTCAAACAAAAAGATGCTCACACGCTGTTGAGTTTGGTGAGACTGCCGAAGGACTCTGGAATGCTGCCTGTGAGCTGATTGCGCATTACAGAGCTGTTGCGCGTGGTGCAGGGTGCAGTGAGGAACAGATGGGATGATGGGCATGAGCACATGCAATCAGTCTGATCTCTTGAAGGGTATGAGCACATGTGATGGGAATGCTGCATAAGGTGGAAGTGGGCACAAGCAATGGGCACGAGAACAAGCAATAAGCATGAGAACAAGCAATGGGCATGAGAACAAGCAATAAGCATGAGAACAAGCAATGGGCACGAGAACAAGCAATAAGCATGAGAACAAGCAATGGGCATGAGCACAAGCAATGGGCATGAGCACAAGCAATGGGCATGAGCACAAGCAATGGGCATGAGCACATGTAATGCGCATGAGCACATGTGATGCACATGAGCACATGTGATGGCATGAGCACATGTGATGGCATGAGCACATGTGATGGCATGAGCACATGTGATGGCATGAGCACATGTGATGGCATGAGCACATGTGATGGCATGAGCACATGTGATGGCATGAGCACATGTGATGGCATGAGCACATGTGATGGCATGAGCACGTGTGATGGCATGAGCATGTGTGATGGCATGAGCACATGTGATGGCATGAGCATATGTGATGGCATGAGCACATGTGATGGCATGAGCACATGTGATGGCATGAGCATGTGTGATGGCATGAGCACATGTGATGGCATGAGCACACATGTGATGGCATGAGCACATGTGATGGCATGAGCATGTGTGATGGGCGGGCAGGGCAGGGCACTGGCTGGCTCAACACGAGCGGAAGGCTTACAAGACTTTGAGGTTGATGGCGCTGCCAATGGACTCTGGCATGCTTCCAGTGATGATGTTGCCAATAATGTCTCTGCGAAACAGCAGGCAGTGGACTTGAACCGTGTGTGCTGTATGTATAATGTATGTTAGGGGGTATCTAAGGTGTGGGTGTGGGTGTATGAATGTGTGTGTGTGTGTGAGTGTGTGTGTGTGTGTGTGTGTGTGTGTGTGTGTGTGTGTGTGTGTGTGTGTGTGTGTGTGTGTGTGTGTGTGTGTGTTTGTGTGTCCAAAGGGTGTGTTTGTGTGGGCCTGTGTGTGTGCACGTGCGTGTGTAGATGCGTGCGTGCATGTGTGTGTGTGTGTGTGTGTGTGTGTGTGTGTGTGTGTGTGTGTGTGTGTGTGTGTGTGTGTATCTGTGTGTGTGTGTGTGCGTATGTGTGTGTGTGTGTGCGTGTGTGTGGGAGCGCGTGTGTGTGTGTGCGTGTGCGTGTGTGTGTGTGTGTGTCTGTGTCTGTGTCTGTGTGTTTGTGTACGGGCATATAAAGTAGATAGAAACGAGAAGTGGGCCATTTGATAGCGCAGGCAGACAGAGAGAGACCGGGGGGTAGAGGATTGAAAGACAGCCTTGGAGGGGTAAGGATTGAACATTCAACTGCTGTAAACAAGGGTGGACGGAAAGGAGCAGAGCAAGCACACATGTAGGTGAGCGTGGTCCGCCCAGATATCCAGAATGGAAAGGGACCTGATAAATCCATAAAGCTGAGTGCTCTGCACACACAAGCATACACAAACAACACACACACACACACACACACACACACACACACACACACACACACACACACACACACACACACACACACACACACACACACACAACAGAGATGGATGCATGTAAAGAACACTATGGTCAGAGAACGGGAGACACAGATGACCGGAAAAAGGAAAGTTCAGGTCCAGATGCTCTTGTTTGATGTGATGACCAGATGAGATGGAAGGGCTTTCTTATGGCCAACCTCTGCTGTGCATGGCCAATGGCCACCTGCAACCCCCTGGAGGTTGTAGGCTAGGCTGGTTACATACACTTGACAGCCTTGAAAAGTGAGGCCACGTGTTACACGTGTTGGCCAGGCTGGAACAACCTCCTTGGGTCAAAGACAGCTGTGACCGTACCTTTCCAAGGGCATGTGTAGAGGAGTGACAGGCTATGTTGAGCATCATTTAGAAGGTGGAATGCGGGCTACAGGTGAGGGCTAACCAAGTAGGGTATGGCGACAAATGTCCTTCCTTGGTGGTTCTTGGCCTATGCCCCCATCATGCTTAGCTATTTATGGGGCATCCTTGAAAGAATCTAAACCCCTTGAATTTCAAACACGGGGTCGCCGCACAACACAACACATAAGTGTCAAGGGGGGAGGGTAGGCAGCCATTGGTGACTTTAAGTGATGCGTGGTGCGAGAGCAACCTGTGGCTCACTCACAGGGATCTGAGGTTGGTGAGGCGCTCCATCTCCAGGGGGATGGATCCGTTCATGTGGGTGTTCTTGCTTAGGTCCCTGTGAACGTACCATGATTCCAAAATTTTGGCAAACAAAATCAAGACAAGTGATCAAATGTCAGGTGGCCGTGTCGTGCACAGAAGCTTCTCGAATGGGTGCACAGCTAGATGGAAAGTACGTAGTAATACACACAGCAAGCAAGCGCAACGTGACATGATCAAATGGTTGGTAAGTACGTCAATGCTTAATGCATCCCAAGTCAAGGCAGACCTCTTATTACAGGAGCTCGTTCACACTCAGAACGGAAATCTCTGGGGCTCGTTTAAGAAGATGTATTTCCAGGGAGGTAAAGGAGTATCACACCATGCCAGCCCCTTTCGGGTAGAGGAATGAGTGTAGGAGGCACGTTACAGGTATGAGAGGGCAGCAATGCCACCAATGGCTGCTGGAATGGATCCTCTCAGCCAGTTCCAACTGAGATCTCTGACATGTGTGTCCGACACATATAAGGGTGGTGGGGGGAAAATAGAGTGGGGGAAAAATCATATAAAGCAATTGGTAGGGTGCATTGCCACCTGAGCTCCAGTGAACTGCGATACCCATAGCTGCCCCCATTGCTGTCCCCATTGCTGCCCCCATTGCTGTCCCCATTGCTTCAGGCCTGCCCACTTTTCCATGTCTGTCAGCCCTATGTATCTACACTAGCATATGTGTGCTGTAAACTTGGGCCCGGTTTCTAAAACGCCATAGAGAAAAGCTCTGGCGGGCAGGTCGACTAGCTGCAGCTTAAAGCGTAAGTCAATAAGATAACGCAAAAGGAGGAGTTGCTAAATTGTTAGGGAATGCTAAAATTTTCACCGTAGAAACACAACGTATCCGTGCCGCGACCGTGTAGCCGTTGTAAGGCCTCGCGCAATTGAATCTCCACCACCTCATCTCAGCCATCGTGGACCCACTTGCGCTCATACATGGCATGACACCACAAACGAAAAACGGCATGGCGACACACACATACATTACAGCACGATTCTGCATGGCATGGCAAGATTTTGAAGGGTATACCAGGCTCATGAGCCAAGGGAGAGACCTGTGAGCCAGCCGGGCTCGTCGCGAGCCGACCCATCCCCCAGCTCGTCTTGATTGCACAAGCCTCAAGCTCGCCAGTTGCTCGGCTTGGCTTGTGTTACGATTCAGAGGGGCTCGGGACAGCATGTTGAACGTGGCATACATAGGGAGGAGAACAGCTTACAGGTGCGAGAGGGCAGCAAGGCCACCAATGGCTGTCGGAATGGGGCCTAATAGCCAATTGCCATAGAGATCTCTGGCATGTGGTTCAGACACACACAAGGTAGAGCAGGAAACAGGGAGGAACAACATGTAGAGCGGCTGATAATTCCCCTTCTGAGCCACATTAGAGGCCATCTTCTCTCACGGCTTCGAGGATAGGCGTATTCTTGTCTCACCTTAGCCTGCATTTCAGACTAACAATCAAACAGAAAGAGGTGACGACCACCAGGCCTTATGCCAAAGTGAGGAAGATGAAGATGATGATGAGACGAGGGGATGGGGCCTGGCAAATGGCCGTGGAGGAGGTATCTCTAGGGTCCGTGCAGGTATCACACATGCAGGTATCACACATGCAGGTATCTCACATGCAGGTATCACACATGCAGGTATCACGCATGCAGGTATCACACATGCAGGTATCACACATGCAGGTATCACACATGCAGGTATCACACATGCAGGTATCACACATGCAGGTATCACACATGCACGTATCACACATGCACGTATCACGCATGCAGGTATCACACATGCAGGTATCACACATGCAGGTATCACACATGCAGGTATCACACATGCAGGCATCACACATGCAGGTATCACACATGCACGTATCACACATGCAGGTATCACACATGCAATGCAGGTAACACACATGCAGGTATTACACATGCACTTAACACACATGCAGGTATCACACATGCACGTATCACACATGCAGGTATCACACATGCAGGTATCACACATGCACGTATCACACATGCACGTATCACACATGCACGTATCACACATGCAGGTATCACACATGCACGTATCACACATGCAGGTATCACACATGCAATGCAGGTAACACACATGCAGGTATTACACATGCACGTAACACACATGCAGGTATCACACATGCACGTATCACACATGCAGGTATCACACATGCACGTATCACACATGCAGGTATCACACATGCACGTATCACACATGCAGGTATCACACATGCACGTATCACACATGCAGGTATCACAAATGCACGTATCACACATGCAGGTATCACACATGGAGGTGTCACACATGTAGGCCCACGCACACACCCGCAAGACTAGTGGGGTGGGGAAGCGTTCTCACAAGGCAACGAGGTTGGTGAGGCGGAACAGGGACGACGGGATGGAACCGAAAAGTGCCGTTCTGGTAAGCGACCTGTGCAGGCAGGCGCAACATGGGGGACATGGGACGAAAGTGACGTGGACACACAGCAACATGTAGCAAAGGAGAATCCATGCAGACACCCACTCTCGGCCCCCTGGACTTACTATGACTATCCTCCTGGCTCTTATCCCCCTTAACCTTCACCACCTGCAGCTCATCCCATGAATCAACCCTCTGTGGTATTTGTGCGTGCCAGCAGTGAAGATTTGATGCTCGAGCAGCTCCAGCACCTGTGTATGCTGTCAGTGAAATTGGCTACTCGTTAGGCCTATTCCCCCTTCGCCTCAACTTCAGCCCTGATCACTAGCTGTGTGCTTTTATCTGCTACAGCCCACACCACACCTGCCCCAGGAGACTGATTGAGTCCTCACATCTGTCCCCCAAACCATGCTCTAGTGAACGAGAAACGCAAGCTCCATTCATTCAAACACCCATGGACCGGACTAAGGCCCTGAAAGTGGGCGCATAATGAAAAGGGGTGTGAGGAAGTGGGAGGACGAGGGGAGGGGGAAGGCGGGGGGGGGTGGGGGGGGGAGAGGGGGGGGAGTTTGGAGAGCTTCAATTTGGCCACTCCAGTGAGGAATGTAGCCTGCTGCTACAGCATTCCACAACATGGCATGCTTACAGTTCTGTGAGTGTTGTGAGGTTCCCCATCGCTTCTGGTAGAGGACCAAAGAGAGGCCGGTAAGTGACGTTTCTGGCACCCGGCATGGGGAAATGGCACAAGGGAAGAGGAGGGGTAGATGATGAGATGAGTGTATGCTGCTGGTTGGTCGCACACAGACACAACTACAACTCGCATGGGTCACGGGGGGCACGGGCCATGGCACATAGAGCATAGGGCATGAGGAAGGAGCAATTGAGCATAGTACATGGAGCATGGGGAATGGAACATGAGGCATGGGGCATGGGGCATGGGGCATGGGGAATGAGGGATGGTGCATGGAGCATGATGCATGGAGCACAAAGCATATGAGTCGTGGATCATGGGGCATCTGTCATGCAACATGGAGCATAAGCGTGTATGGGAGGGGCAGGGGGCATGGGGTACATGGTAATACGGTATGGGGGATGGTACATGGAGCATGGGGCGTGGGACGAGTAAACGAGGCGAGTTTGTCCTTGCCTCATCTACTAATCGCCACGGAAACAGCGAGTTTCTAAGGTGCCGTTTCCTTTTTTTTTCCTCGGCGGCAAGTAGTAGTACTCGTCTCGCTCGCCTCATCAAGACTCGAGTTAATGAGGACGAGATTTTTATTTGCAAGGAAAAATAACGTGCCCGCGACTGGAAAAAAGTCTCATAAAATACCAGCGCTCGTCAACTAAAACCTGCATATGTCTGCTCGCCCAAGTAGACATCGCCTCGCACAAGTAAGAAAAACTTGGGGCATGTGATCCTCGCCTCGCCCCATGTGCATGTCTAGTCTAGGCGGGCATGGAGCATACTGACTGGGGCATAGCGCATGCAGCAGGGAGCATGGGGCATGAGACATTGTGCGTTCACGGGCATGGCCACGGCCCACGGGGCATGGGGCATCATGGGGCACGGGGCGGCAAGGGGCACCGGCCATGGGTTATATTATATGGGGCATAGGGCATGGAGCATGGGGAACGGGACATGCTGCATGGAGCATAGGGCATAGGGTATGGGCAAGAGGGATGGGTCATAGGGCATGGGGCATGAAGCATGGAGCATGGAGCATGGGGCATGGGGTATGGAGCATGGGCATGGGTTATGGGGTACTAAGGGACATGGAGCATACAGCATGGAGCAAAGGGCATGGGGCATTGGGCATCGGGCATAGGACATGGGACTAGACAACAAGCAGGGAGCTATTCCGATGAGCACCTCCATTCCCTTCCCTCGCCAATTGAGAGACTGCACTTCCACCACCACACACACACACACACACGTGCGCGTGCGCACCCACACACGCACGCACGCACACACACACACACACACACACACACACACACACACACACACACGTAGGTGCGCGCGCGCACACATGCCCTATCTGGAAAACCGAGAGAGAGAGAAAAAGAAACAAGAACGGCCAAGGTACAGGGTGGAAAGGACATCGCGCACATGGAGACAATGAAGCCAGCGGCATCGCAGCGCACGCCCTCCACCTGGGCGCAATCCCCCCCCTTGCTCCACCTGGCCAACTGCGCCTTCGGCTTCCACTGCCTCTGACACTCCGCCAGCACCGCGGCTGCAGGGAACACCAGCCGTGGAGGAGGAGGGGACAATAAAATGGTGAGGGAGGGAGCAGGTGGATGGGGAGGTGGAAGCAGCGGATGGGGGGGAAGCATGCCAGACGGGGAGGGGGGCATGCGGCTGGAAGGGGGAAACATGCACGTCTAGCCTTACACTGCGCCCTACTCGAGTGTGTGCCACGTCTTGTGCGCGCGTGCGAGCCCTAGTATCATGCGCGCATGTGCGCTGATAGCCCTAGCCCTACGTTGTGAGGCGAGCGTGGTGCACCACATCATTTAGAGTGTGCCACATGCGTGGCTGCACGGTGCCGCGGTGCGTAGTACTGATGTTTAGCATCGTAAGACAGCGACACGCCACGGGCACGACGCAACACGCCACGCCGGATTGAGGCGACGACTCCCGCCGCTGACACGCATGGACAGAGGCACGACCGACCTTGCAAGGTATCGAGACTGACGGCAGCAGCGGCCGGGGCAGTCGTCGAAGAGAGCGAGATTGCGAGCGCTGTGAGGAGGATGACGAAGCAATGCCACCCTGCCATGGCGGTTGCGATGCGAGTCGCCGATGGTCAACTGCGTGATGACTCTAAGGGCTAGTCCGTTGGGTGGGAGTTGGGTGCGAGTCGCCGATGGTCAACTCCCACCCAATGCACCCCACTATGGGCTGGAAGGCTGCTGTGTGCCGCTTGGCGAGGGGTGGACGTGTTACAGAAGAATGTGGGAGGGACGGGGCATCGTTGGCAGACATACGCGCTATGGACACCATGGCTTCGTTTGCAATATGAAGGACAAGTATGGATTGTCCGAATGCGTATTTCAGCTCGTCAAGGAAATCTGAGAAAAAGAAAACAAGAGGCGACTGAATCGTCTAAGGGTTGCGGAGCATTTCATATCTTCAATAAATATAACAATTAAGGTGTTTCTTTATAACTGTAAGGAAATGGAGTTTCCTAATCCCAAGTTTCAGTTAGTAAAGTGTACACTGCTATAACGGTATTGCCATGTAGCTCTACCACGAAATTCAAATCACGGCACCCAAATGTGGTCTCCTGACGAGCCGCATGCATTTTGCCCACCTTGCAGTTCTCATGCCTAGATTTGGGCGCTTCGCGCCACTTTACAAACCACATGTCTCAGCTCCGCCGAGCCTCGCTCGTGTGCTTTAGGATATCCAGACTCCTTGTTGTTTCGATGTTGCATAATTGTATTGTTTCCTCGCTACTCAACTATTCGACATACGCTATTTGCGCTTCATTACACCTGGCCATCAGAGCCAATGATCCTCAGCCTTGCGCTCTAGTTCCGCTGCAATACCGACACTTAGGGGGGTTGCCACCATGTGCTTACTGCATATCCGCTGTCTTGGTAATATTAATCGATAACAACCTACAGCCACGACTGTGTTCGCAGCGCCAGCGAACGGAAAGCCGCCCAAAACTTCAACGAAATTGTAGAGCCGTTGTCGTCTAACGCCATGACTGCTGAAGAAAGGGCGGCAGTACTCGAGGAAGTGCGTCTTTCTAACGAGTTGTACCAGCAGGAGTTGGCGCGTCTGCGAGCTGAAACAACTCAAGCTGAATCCGAAATATATGCACTACGAAGTCGGTTGCACTATACATAATACAACACGACCCCGCCAACGACAAACCAAGGACAAAAGGAGCAAGTTACTCAACAGCGTACTGAAATACCTGAAGACAATCAGCAGCCATATGCACCTTCGCCCGAGGTCTCGACGAACAACCCGCCGCCGATCATTGGACGAATGGAAGTTGGCGAAGGGGCGGATGTCAACCCGCCGCCCCAAAGTACCTCTCCCACCAGCCTGCAAACTGCAATTATCAACATGGCATCGGGAATTCTCAAGACCTAGAGGCCGCCTATGTTTGACCCAAGCCAACGTGTAAATTTGTCCATCACCGGATCGCTTTTTACGACTGCAACCTCATCGTCGAAGATTCGCAGAAGATCCGTTACGATGTCTTCCTACTACGTGGATTGGCAATGAATTGGTGGCAGCAGATAATACAGCCGTAGGAGCCAAATACGATGCCGCGCGTAATCATGCGTTTTTGCACGACCAATCATTGGGCAGGAAGTTTTTACGAGGTGGACGAGTACAGCACGTAGCAATCGTGGTGCGTGGGAATTTGTCGCCGCTTCGAACACGTCAATGCAAGCAGTTAGGCGCGCGACCTCCTTCGCACGTGGCACCAACTCGAATAAGTCAAGACTAAATCAGCAACTTCAAGAACTTATGCATCCACGTCGGCTACATTCACCCTGACGAAACGTTTGACAGATACATCGGGGGACTTGGACGGATATGCACCGAGAATTACAAGTGTGAATAATTATGGATTTTATGGAGGCACAGAGGGTTGCGGAGTGGTTGGATTCATTCTACGAAGGACAAGGTTCAGCTGATGATGTGGAAGGTTGTGAAATAGTAGAAGGTTAACCTGTTGCACTGGCGGGCGGATAATATTATTCGGCTGCATCTGTTTCATCTTGAGGGGTGACGAAACTTCTTTTGGCACTATAGTGATCAAAATCTCGTTGCTGGCGTTCCTTGTCGTGTTCGAAGTCATTGAGAAATAACTTCTCATAGAAGATGCAGTCGCGGGCATACAAAACTTAACGAGGTTCGTAGTCCATGATTATCGAGAAGTGGGAATCATAAGGTACACCAAGGTGTATTCCCCATCGAGCACGTTCAGTGAATCAAACCGCGGTTGCGCTCGGAGGCCGGTATTGGACCATGCAACCCCAGACTCGTAAAAGCCGTGTATCGGGAGGCTGCTTTGTCCACGTGACATGTGGCAAAATGAATTGGGATAAGGGAGTTGAGGAAAGGAAGTTGTGCAGTTTGACAGCTTGCGCCATTGCAAGCGGAAAAAAACTGGCATGTTGGACTATTGCAGAAGCACGCGCATCTTCTCTTGCAGGGTTCTGTTCGTCTGTTCAGCGGCCCCATTTTGCTAATGGGCATAGAAGTATTGTCTTGCGCCTGAGAATCCCTTTCCGCACGAGAAACTCGTAGAATTGCTCGCTAGTGTATCCCCCCGCATTTTTGGTCTGCATATCATTCAGTTTGATACTATTCTGCCGTTCTTCTATCTTCGGCCAAAGCTTGAAGGCGTCGAGAGCTTTTGAATTGTGAGAGATTTTCTTGTGCTAGACGTATCGAGTAGCACCGTCAATGAAGGTAATTATGTATCAGTAGTCGTTGTCGCTGATCTCCTCTTCTTCTTGCGGCATGAAGAGGATGTCACTGAATACGGCGTCCATCGGTGAGAACTTAAGAGCACTTGGGAAGTGCGACGGGTATGGAGCATGGCTAAGGTGAGCGACGAGGCAGATGGTGCAGGGTGACTGACGGCTGCTAGGTCGAAGCTCTTGGCTGTTGGTTGGAAGAAGTATGTCATTGTCACCGAGGCTTTAATTGAGTTGTTGAGAGCTTCTTGCGAAGGATGACCTAAGTACTTGTGCCATGTTCTTGCCATAGTTTTGTGATTTTTTTAATGCAGTTACAAGTCGGAGTGAAGAAAGAAGGTTGGCGAGAAGTGAATCGTTGGGACAAGGTTAATGTAGCTACCAGTGTCGAAAGGCTGGATGATCCCGGCTTCTTCTGCAGTTTCAGCCCAAGGGATGTCAAGGTGTCGACGATGCACCCAAGAGTCAGGTACGATCAATTCTTTCTTTCCCCGGGTACCTTCTACCTCTATAGGTTCTTCGACTGTAGGTGATGTAGATTCTTGATTAGAAAAGCCCCAGTCCCCTCGTCTGCACCACCGTCCCCGCCACCACCTCCGCCATCCCCTACACCTCCGCCACCCTTCCCTCTGCCACGCACCCCCTTGGGCCGTGGCAGCGGTCTCAACACCAAGGGCTGTCTCAGCGACAGCGACAGAAATGTCAGAGTAAGTGCACTGGGAGGGAGAACAGCCCTGGATGATAAGGGCCGCCGCAGTACTGCTAGACTGAGCGAAAGTGCGCTATCGGGTTTCTTTAGCGGACAGGGCAGTGAAAAAGGCGGTAAGGGTGAGGTCACCTGGGTGCTGACTAAGAAAGTGGTCGCGGGCAGTGGCAAGGCGGTCAGGGAGGCATGTGGCAATGAGGTAAAGGGTGGCGCAAAGCGGCGGGGGGAATGCAGTGAGCTGTGCCTCAGTGCTAGCAGAAAGGTAGCTAGTCTCAAGTGCGTGGAGATGGGTGGCAAGGTCAGCGACAGTGGGGAAGGATGCAAGATCAAGGAATAGCATGGGGAGGATCAGACAGTCGGCAGAGGGGGAGGATGTAGTGGAATAGCACGCAATGACCGCATCTAAATACTCCTTCGCTTGTGCTACAGCGATAAAGCCGGATGCTCGAATAGGGGGAGGGCGTACCTAATGGCAAGCTGTGCAACTACGTCGCACGACTCCCAGACTACGCGGGCAAGCTCAGCAGTGGCTAAGGCTCACACTCAGCAGACGTGGGGGCATCAGGGAGGGCAGCAGGCGCGGCGGGGCAGGGGAGCTTACCGTCGATATGGACAGCCAGGGAGTAGCCGTCCTCTCGCTAACCAGTCAGCTGGCGGCGGAGGTTGACGAGTCACGCCTCAAATCAACCGCCGGACCCTTCGCATCTAGGCAGAGCATAGAGTCCGCCATCATCGCGGCTGCAGCAGCTGACTGCCGCTGGAGAGAGAGGAAAGCCGACAGGAGTGCCGACTCAGAGGGGAGCTAAGGCCGGCAGGTCGGGGCGGCAGAGCAGCTCGGCGGCTCAGTGACACGGCGTCACGGCGGCACTGTGTCTCGGCGGATCGGCGGCACGACGACTTGGCGGCTCGACGGCGCGGGGGCGGCGCGGGCTGGGGCTGACGAAGAGGCCGGCGGAGCTGGTGCCGGCGAGTACGGGGCCGGCAAGCGCGGGGCCAGCGAGCGCGGGGCCAGCAAGCACGGGGCTGGCGAGCGCGGGGCCGGCAAGCGCGGGGCTGGCGAGCATGGGGCTGGCGGGCGCGGGGCTAGCGAGTGAGGGGTCGGCGAACTCGGGGCGCGGGTCTGGCAAGCTCGGGGCCATCGAGTAGGGGCCGGCGAGCGGGGCCAGCGAGCTAACAGGGGGGCCGGCAAGCGAGGGTCGACGGGCGCAGGGCTACGGGCGACTGGCGGCTATGGGCGGCCGGCGGGCGGCTGGCGGCTATGGGCGGCCGATGGGGCTGGCGACGGGTGCGGGGCTACGGCCGACTGGCGGCGACTGGCAGCTGGCAACTACGGGCGACCAGCGGCCACAGGCGGCTGGCGGCTACATGCGGCACGAGGTGACGGGCGGCCAGTGGCGGTGAGTGGCGAGCAAAGGCGGCTAGCAACGGGCGGTAGGAATGGGCAGCTAGCAACGGGCTCCTAGTGACGGGCAGCTAGCAACGGGCGGCTAGCGATAGGTGGCTAGGGCTAGGACTAGGACTAGAGCGGAAGCGCGGGTGGGTGGGGAGGACCTAACCTGGCGCATGATACCATCTCATAGTAAAGAATAGGCTAGAATGTGAGATACTGTGCGGTTTTGTACACAGGGGCTGTACTTTCTAAGAATACGCACCTGTTTAGCCTACAATAACATATACATATACGTTTGACACGGGGGGCTCTACGGTAGGCTAGGGCGGAAGCGCGGGTGGGTGGGACCTACCTAGCGTGATACCATGTCAGAGTAATGAAGTG